CACCTTCATGACATCTGCCTTGAGATTCACAGCACTGGTATGCAGCTGCTGGTACTCGCTAGCCAGCTCGGCAAGCAGCTGCTGGATCTCTGTCGCTTTCTTGGCCACCTTATGGAAGGGAGCAGCTGTCTGTCGGATGTTCTCCTCTGAAGCCGAGTTCTCTGCATCCCGGCGAGATCTGGGAGGGGGGAAGCATGGGGGGTGGAATGAGTCTAGGGGGGGTGCAGGGAGGTTGAAAATTGAAGGAGAAATAGCGATAAACTGAATAATAATGAATGAAAACTGAGTGAAACTGTTGAAAGTTAAAACGAAACACAGAAATGAAAAAATATAAAAACAATGAAGACAGACAAATATAATAAATGAAAAGTGTGTCCAGGATATAGTAACATTTTTTCTTCTATCAAGGTGATGTATTTGACAGGTTTGTGATCATTAGTGACAGGTTGATAGGCTAGCAATGATAATCATTTGACATTTGACATGCTAAATATTTGACATACAACAATGTTATTCAAGCATGTTGAATTTAACCTATTACCACTGACCATTCATGTGCAAATCTGCCTCAACTACAACAAAATTAGTATACATATAACATGTAATGATTGGAAAATCTGGAACAAAACTTCATAGAGCTCAACTTACTCGAAGAGTGCAATGGTCCCAAACAAGTCATTTGTTAAAAGCTGCTCCTTTGCAGACTTGCCATCTGGTTTTGCTCCTACATTGTTGGTCCCTGAAGGACAACCAAAGTTTAATTACTTAGCAAATATAAGGATATATAAAAAATATAAACAACATAAAAATCTTAATGAAATACAAAATGAATTTAAAAAATAAAAATATATTTTCCATCAAACACAAAAGATTACTGTCAGGCAATGCTACTTTATAACCCAACAATGGGTCTATAAACCCATGATTGATGGTGCACGTCTATTCTGGCCATAAGGAGATGAGGCTAAATGCCGGCTGGCAAGGATATGCACCAAACGCAGTAAGACAGTTCAACTTGTGCACCCTAAACAGTTGTTTGCTTGTTCAGCAGGGCAGGAGCTAGAGCCCCTCAAATGTGCGATCATAGCCTCATATTTTCTATGCATAAGTTTTACCTGCACTGGCTGATGGAGGTTGTGCCCCTCCAAGTCCTATGTTGATACCCCCAAGGCCAGTGGAACTTGTGGTGGTGGTTGTGGTCTGTAAACCTGTGATGAGAAAGGGAAAAAATTAGTTTCTAATATTGGCGTGGTATGTGGAATTCAATGATGTACCCCCAACCTTCAAAAAATATTAATAAAAAATTAACAATAAAATTTACTGGAAGATCATTCATATTTTAGTAAATATGTGACAACTTTGGAACTGACTGAAAGAATGTTCTGCCAAAAGGGATAGAGAGATCTAGTTATCTGGATCCAGGACGAATGAAAGATGACAGACGTGTCCTTAATCATGATTTATCTCTTGGTCTCAGTCTGGATCCTTTTTATCTCCCCATACTAACACCCATCCCTCTGGAGGACGCAAACACAAACTCACTTGTGAACCCAAAGCCGCCTCCAAGCTTGGGTGCCTGTGAGGTCTGCAGGGCTTGTGCACCGCCTAATCCAGCTGAAAAATCTGTTGCAGGAGCAGCTGAGGTTGCTGTGGCTCCTCCAAGACCTGTGAAGGAGAAGCCGGAGGAGGTGCCTGCTGCGCTTGAGGTAGCTGTGGGGGCCAGGCTGGTTCCCCCGAGACTGAAGCCTGTGGTCCCTGTACTCTGTGTTGCGCCACCTAACGAAAAGCCACTCGCACTGGTGGCTGTGAGGATGAAAAAGTCTCGTGAGCTTTATACATAAGAGAGGGGGATTTATAGATTTAGAATAAAAGGGAAACAGCTTTCCCAACTGTGATTTTCCATTGAAGCTGTGAGCTTTTTAGGGCAACCACAAGGAAGCCAATCATGGATATTGAAACAGTTTAGAGCTTGAGATACTTTACTCTACATGTATACTGTGTATATTCTAATTCTTTTCTAGTTTACTAAAAATCTACTTTTTCTACACTTCGTGCACCTCGTGACAAAATTTCCTGTAACACTACCATAAACTCAAAGCAACAATATACTCCTAGTGCTGAATAAATCTGTATTTTATTAGTGTCTTAGTGATAAGCAAAGACAAATGAGTGGGAATAAAACAAACAAACCAAACAGAATCAATACATTTCCTCTGAACCTGCATCCATTCTTTTCTTTTTTTTTTTCCTTCTAAAACTTCCACCCTTTACATCTCAAAGACCCAATTTCACTAGCTTCAAACAAGGAGCAACTGGTGGTGAATTTCAGGCCCTCCTCTCCCTCGATTCATTCACTGACCAGCTGGTGTACTGCTGAAGTTGAAGCCCCCAAAGGTTGTGGTCGAGGTAGCTGGGGTGGCTGTCGAGCTGAAGCTGAAGCTGGAGGCTGTGCTTGTTGTGGCAGCTGCGCATGGCCAAGATCAAAGGGCACTTTTAATACCTCTGAACTCTTATGATTAGTCTTATTATTATCCTGCCTTCCCTATTTTTACTCTCTCATTTTTCTTAATCATTCTTTCTTGGAAACACACTTCCTCTCTCTCTCTCTCTCTCTGTTCATCCAATCACTCAGTCACTCATCCTTAACCCTCAAAAGGGAACGCAACCAACCCTGGTCAATGAGAATGTCTATCATATTACTGTTTGTTAACTTATTATGTAAGACTTTTACAACTGGGTAGATGATAATAATAAATTCCAAATATATATGATCCTTCCCTTGTTTTGCAATAAAGAAAAAATCTCTGTACCATAAATGTGCCTACACATGTTGCCACATGGTTAATAAGACAAGAGGATGATCACTGTGGGATATGCTTCTGCCACCTGCTCTCCCACAGACACACACACACACACACACACACACACACACACACACACACACACACACACACACACACACACACACACACACACACACACACACAAATACCTCTCTACCTTCTGACAAACACACAAACAAATATAAAAAGAGAGGATTGGAAGAGGGTGAAAATGAACGAGAGAGAGAGATGTAAGTCAACAGCAAATGTGGTGTATAGAGAGGGGGAGGCAGAGGGAGGATCCCTCTTTCTATAAGACAGGTGGATGATGACAAACCAGTGACCACCCTAGTTCAAGAAATTTGTTATCTCAATGATAACCAAATGGTAACTTCAGTATCGTTTCTACATAAAAAAAATAGAAAAGTTTATGATAAGAGCTATTGAATGATGTAAATTGATAAAATAGACAACTTTGAACTTTGCAGTCCTGGTGAGTAGAGCGGCCTTGGAGCCTGTCATCCTGAAAGGGTTGACGCCTACGCTTAGGTGCACCATTTCTTAAGACTTCCTTCCACCTCTCCTTGTTGAGCTGCGACCCCTTCCAATGAAGCTTGTTACTGCACCATTATTCACCTTGCTATCAATAGCTACCCAAATTACTGCTACTGTGCATTTACTAAGCCATTTTATAAATACTATTGCAATTCTAGCTGCTAGTTTTTAAGCTTTCCGTATGGTATTTGTTACAAGTGATTTTTTTGTTGTTGTTGTGATCACTGTCCATAAAAATGTTATATTAATGGTTCTGGAATTGCTTCCAAAGGAGTTTATAATTCAACTCATTTGAGTTCTTATACCTTCCTATTATTACATGGAGGTAGGACTCCTTTGTGAAAAGATACAACACTTTACACTACACTAAAGCTATGGTAACACTAGATCTGCTGAACTCTGGAACCAGATTCAGGTATGGGATGAGTGCCTTTTCAGCCAGATGGAGTTCTAGTCTCTTAGGGAACACTGGGAGCCACACTTGATGCAGTCTGTATCCAGATCTTCATTTTTTGGGTATAACAAAGAATCAACAAAAAGGAAAGGAAAGCTTTCCATTGCTTTTAAGTTTCAAAATCTAAGCTACGTCCAGGACTGCCAATTTTCCTTCACTTCCAGCTTTAACAAAAGCAAACAAACCCTTGGCATGTATACTTTAGTAAGACTGAGATTACTGGACTTTCCGACAATTCACCACCATATAAGAAAATAAATCAAAGTTCCATCTTGAATTTACATGGGAAGGTCTATGAGCCTTTGTAATCTATAATAGATAACAATACACATTGGCAGAATGTCCACCATGAATTACTGTATATACTTGAAGTTTTTCTGGGTTTTATGTTGCATTTCTTTCTCAACTAAGTAAAGAATTTGGAAAAAAATTGTATAACCTATTGTGCCTCATACTGCCTATTACATTCTGAAGCTTGCACTGACATGGGCTAGCCTAGGGGATTGTAACCAATAACCAGAACAGGACATCTGGAAGTGACTAAGGGACCGGAGTTAAGTCAAAGTAGTGAAACCACAGATTCAGGTAAAAAATATACTTCATCAGGTTCTAAGTAACTACCATACTTTACAGAACTCATTATAAGCTAAATAATTATCAAATACTTTACAGAACTCATTATAAGCTAAATAATTATCAAATACTTTACAGAACTCATTATAAGCTAAATAATTATCAAATACTTTACAGAACTCATTATAAGCTAAATAATTATCAAATAATTATCAAATAGTATCAATCAATCCTGTAATGTAACATTTAAAAGTACCCCAAATACGATAATCCAACCACAGGAAAATCTCACTCTCTCAGTTTACATTACGAATTACCTGCTGAGGTACTGGGAGTGCCACCCAGAGTGCTAAAATTAAACCCAAGGCGCTGAGTGCCTGCAGGTGGAGTGCCAAAAAGGCTCTTGTTGGCTTGGGGTGCCACTGCTCCTGCTGCTGGTGCTGCCTGCTGCTGCTGAACCTGGCCGAAATTGAATCCACCCCCTGCTGATAAGGACATTTTTTTTAAACCTTTATATGGGTAAAGTCGATTAAGTGATACAATTAACCCATTGGATCTACTTGCCCATATTTCAAAATGTGGGGAATAGGCTTACTTAACCCAATGCCGACAGGTATGATGTGTACATACGTGCTATGCCCACTGTGAGTACTTGTTTGATTGTTTTTACGCATAGATGGCAACACTTGTACTAAATAACCAAAGAACCAGTAACGAGTACTGCCCGTCTTGCCCGTTTACCTTTATCATTGATTTATGAAATATTTTACGTAATCTTATTTTCCTGTTACTAATGTTAAAAAACATTATAATTATAATGTTTATAATAAACATAACACTATCCATATTCATAGCACTAGTAAAAAATATGTTTTTCCTGCCATTTCAAATAAGGCACTAGCAGAGCCATCTATGGCCAGACATTTCACAAGAAATACAAAAAAAAGAGGCACAGCATTTTCACCAATTTTTGTTCATTTTTCCCGTCGGCATTGGGTTAACCCATTGCCGCCGGGGAAAATGAACAGAAAATGGGGGAAATGCAGTACTCATTTTTTATATTTTTGTGAAATATCTCTGTCCATAGATGGCTCTGCTAGTCCTGATTTCACCTTTCCTTGAATTGGCAAGAAAAAACGTATTTTTACTAGTGCTATAAATATAGTTGGTGTTATTTTTAACCCATTCGCGCCAGGTAAAAATGAAAAAAAAAAAAAGGGGAAAATGCTGTGCTCATTTTTTATGAAATTTCTCTACACTAGATGGCTCTGCCTTACCTGATTTTACCTTTACTTGAATTGGCGGGAAAATGTATTTTACTAGTGTTACGAATATCGATGGTTATTTTTATTATAAACATTATAATTGCTATAATGTTATAAACATTAGTAACAACAAAATAAGATAACGCAAAATAATTTCGTAAATTAAAGTAAAGTGTAAACAGACGAAACAGGCAGTACAAGTACAAGTGTAGCCATCTATGTGTGAAAACAATTAAACAAGTAATCTCACAGTGAGCCCGTCACCTATACGTGACGCCCGGCACGAATGGGTTAACAGCAAATTAGGACAACGTTAAATATTTTCGTAAATCGATGAAAAGGGTGAACGGGCGAGACAGGCAGTACTTGTAATTGGCTCATTGGATACTTAGTACAAGTGTAGCCATCTATGTGTAAAAACAATCGAACAAGTCGACTCACAGTGGGCATGGCATGTATATACATGCCATCCCCGGCGGCAATGGGTTAAGTGGTGACTCTTCTTACATCCCCTTTGTGTCTCTTTTATTGTATTTTTCTTGTTTTATTCTGTATGCCATATTACAAGGTCTATATTTCTTATTTCTATGTCATTTTCCAAGGCCTATATCTGCCATTTCTTATGTTGTATCAAGATGGTAATAAACTATATTATCTCTCTAGGTAGTCTACAACTTTGGGAAAATAATCAATTAGGGTTATGGTATACAAAAGTACTGCACCGACTGGGAGAAAAAAGATCACAGTGTTGTATGCAATGAAAAATTACATTCATTGATTCAAGATGTGTGATGCATGGTGTCTGAAGAAAACATGAAAAAATAAGGGGTAATAATAAAATAGTAGAAATAGATGAGAGCAAATTCGGCAAGCAAAGGTGTAGTGTTTGAGGGTATGCTGTTAAACAAGACAATTTTTCTTGAGATGCTGAAACTCTTCTCAGCATCATAAAAGAAAAAAGTGAGCTGGGTATAACAATAATTAGTGATTATTGCTAGGCATATAAATGCCATTAGAACAAAGGATTTAACAATGTGATATATATATGTATATGTATATGTATATGTATATATGTATATATATATATATGTATATATATATATATATATATATATATATATATATATATATATATATATATATATATATATATATATATATATATATATATATATACTAACAACATTGAGTGGAAGTGGAGAGAGGCAAAGGCAAAAGTTCCCTTCTACAGCATGAGGAAATATCACTTCATGGAGTATTTAGCAAAGCTGTCACAAATGAATGTCCCTGGGTCAAACAAATGTCTTCATGATTTCCTCCTAGCCATAGCTCACTTGTACACTCAACACTAAGGTGGAGCCCCTTCTGCTAAAACACAGCGATCGGGAGGGGGTCTGGGGGCAAAGCTCCTGCTAGGGAAATGTGGCGATTGTTTGAGGGTTCAGGGGTGAAACCTCATGGAAGGGAGATATGGCAACTCGGTGGGAGTCTGGGGTGAAAACACTTTGATTGGGAGAGGATACAGGAGCAGAGCCTCAAAGTTAGGAAGATTTTAAAAAAATTTATGGACCTCAGCTAGATAGGGACGTCAATTGGGAATGGTTTCAGGGATACGATGATTGAGAGGGGTTAGGATATTTTTTTTTGGCTGTCTTTGTTGTAAATTTTGCATTTGGAACTTGCATGTTTGGTTGATTGTGCCTGCAACAGTGATTCAAAGTCATTACCATCACCTTGGTCCTCGGATACATTTTCATGAAACACATTCCCATAACCCAACCCTTGGATAATTTTTTTATGCAGCAAAGACCATGTCACTTAGATCCAATGGGATATGAAATATAGAGCCATATAGAGTCTCTTATTAGATATGGTATCAAATATAAGATCAGGTAATATTAGACAGAGAATATAAGTGGATGCCACAGAGAAATAAGTGTGGGGGGGAGGGGAGTAAAAAGGAAAGTTTAGGGATGGGTGTGGAAAAGAGAGAGAGAGAGAGAGAGAGAGAGAGAGAGAGAGAGAG